GATAACAGATTATAATTTAACAGTGTATGTCATTAATATAAAAAAAAACCACCTTATTCATTCGACAAACATAATCTGTGTTAGTGAATTAACGTTGAAAATAAATGTTCATTACATAATAATTATACGTTCAGGTATTATTTTTCGCTGGCATTTGGTTCATTTAAACACACTCAAAAAGGAAATTATGATCGATTGTTGAAATCAAAGTTATTTGTGTCTAAATGCGAACATGCTGACCCCTGACAGGATATACAACTTAGCGGATGTTTGTTGCAACAGACTAAACTTCTTTGATAGTTTTTTTCCTTACCTCTTTCTGATCTGATTTATGCGAAGTTGTAGCAACATATTCAACGCTCGTAGAATAAAATTGCTATAATGCACTCCGCTACCTTACACCATGATAAACTATAGCAATTTTTTATCCTTTCGTGGAAACATGAATAGAAACATGACAGATCTACATATTCCTTACAAATTGCACAAACGTATTTCCATACTTTCTAATAAGTATTTGGACACCCTGTAAAACGGAATAACCTTTTTTAAAATTGGGCCAAACGACTTGAGTTTTTTTGAGAAGTTAGAAGTATTAGTTTACTAGATGACGTGTGCAAACAATTTTGAAAAGATTGCAGTTTGTGGGAATCGCGAAGAAAATTGTAAAGGTCACTGTTTACAACTTTTTTATCTAGGCTTGTGATGAAAATTTCATCGAAATCGGTTAACGTTGTTACGAGCTACAAACGGTTAAAGATTGTGAAAATCGCGCTATTTCACGCCTGTAACTAATAAATCCGCAGATTCTTACATCTTTCGATGCCTGTCGCTGGTTTCTCCATCCACCGATTTCGATGAAATTTTCAGCGCGTATACAGAATGTCCCGTAAAGAGTGTAATACCCGGAAATGGGGGGTTGCTGGGGTGACTCTGAACAAGTTTTTCCTTTACCAAAATGTTGTTTGAAGCTTCGTTTTTGAATTATTAAGGAAAAACACTGGCCAATCAGAGCGCGCGTAGGGCCGCGGGCTCTACGCGCGCTCTGATTGGCCAGTGTTTTTCGTTAATAATTCAAAAACGAAGCTTCAACCAACATTTTGGTAAAGGAAAAAGTTGTTCAGAGTCACCCCAGCAACCCCCCATTTCCGGGTGTTACACTCTTTACGGGACACCCTGTATAATTCACATAGATCTACAAAACGTATGTTTTAAATTTCCATCACAAGCCTAGATAAAAAAGTTGTAAACAGTGACCTTTTTGACCAAAAATTTTTTGTACACGTCATCTAGTAAACTAATCTTTCTAACTTCTCAAAAAAAAACTCAAGTCGTTTGGCCCAATTTTAAAAAAGTTGTTCCGTTTTATAGGGTGTCCAAATACTCATGGACGGTAGTGTATGTATATTCCAAGAGTAAGAATACCAACATTTTCTATATTTATTCTCATAAATTCATCCAGTTAATAAAAAATATCAAGTCATCTAAAACTAACGCGATCTGTAAATCAACGTTTCACAAAAAAATAAAACATCCATAAAACCTCTTCCATCTATTAAACACTACTCCTTTAAAAAAGTTTCAAGACAGATGAAATAAGATAGGAATTATTTATTTCGTCGCCTTCAGAATAATCCTCGGTGTTTACAATACACATATGCCAACGGTTTTCCCAATCTTTATTGCATTGCTGGAACTTGGTTTTCAGGGATGGCTTTTAGCTGAATCTAGTGAATTCTGTTTTATCGCCTCAATTGACTGAAAACGACGTTCTTGTAACTCAATCTTGGGAACAGAAAAAAATGGCACAGTGCTTGATCAGGCAAGTGTGGTACTTGCAGGTTGATCTTACAATTGGTCGAATTTGTGGTGTAAAGTCTATGAGTTACTTTTTGTTTTTGTAAATCGAATCACGCAAACGCCTTATGACACCCAAGTAGTATTGTTTATGGACTGTCTGACCAGTCAGTAGAAATTGTATATCACGCCAGAGTAATTGAAGGAACGATTTATTCTGGAACGTTTTGAACCGAATAGCACAACTAAATTTGAGCTAGAGCTTTTAATTCCGTTTAATTTCCATTTAGCACGATTCTTTTTTCGTTCACAAACTCACGCAACCCACAGCAATAATTTCACGCAATATATCAAAAGGGTCCGCAAATTTTTCTCGACAACTTCCTCCGTTGTGTCGATTTCAGTCAGACCAATTAATTCGTTTCGCTTTCGCCGTATCATTGTCGATAGATAAAGATCGACAGAGTCGCGTTACGCCTAGAACAGCAACACCTGTTCGACGTGAATCGTTTCAAAGTCTGCCCGTGCCATTCACCAGCGTCCGTGGCCTATCAAATGGTACCATTTCGAAACGGCACAGGGCAAAAAAGCCGCGTGGTTACTAAGCAAATCACGCCGCGCCACAACTCAAACCATCAGCCTTCGTTTAATCAATCAATTACGGGCGCGCAAGCAATTCTACGTGCGCGAATCTGTTGTAATCGCTCTATTCCAGGGTGAATTTGTCGAGGAAACCGCGGCGCGGAGTGACACATCGGGCTGACAGTACAAGGAATTATAACAATTGAACGCATCAGGCCCGGTCCGTTTCATCTAATAAAGTTCGTTTCACGCTCGAGACGACTCGTGGTTAATCGTCATAAATGAAGATTTTCTGGCACCGCTGGCTTCGAACCCGTTCGCTTGTTTGACCAGCTCGCGTCTGCTTCCTACTATACGTCCAGCAATGAATCATTACTGAGTAGTTTAGTTAACATCACTTTGTTCTGGTAACGAACAACAATTACTTTGTTTGGGTTTGTTTGGGTTTATTTGGCTGGACGATCGAATGGATTTAGACGAAATGAAATATTTGAGACGATTATTGTCCGATGAATTGAATAATAGAGGGTAATATTGATAATTTTATAATTGATTGTGGGATTGATTACGAAGGAAATTCAACGTTCAGAATGGTTGTTATTTCATAAGAGGAGAATTGTGGACGATTGTACTCTTCTTAGAAAACTTTGAGCTCTAACAATTTTCTCAACTTCGCAATATAAATTAAGTTAACATTTGAGGATCCTATTGAGGTTACAAGACTCAATTCGAAGGAAATTAATTGCCTAGAATAATTATTATTGGATAAGTGAGGAATTGTAAAAGACTGTGATTTTCTTTTGAAAACTTCCAATTCGTAAAATTGATCTTTCACTATTCTATAAAATGTTACTACTTATTCCTAAATTTTCTTCATCTCCGTAAGTCTTCTTTCTTGAACGCTCAAAGTTTCTGCCTGTGCTCGTTTAATCGAAGAAAAATCAGCGAGCAGAATTGCGAAATTTACGCCTGTCCGTTATACTACCAATACTCTACACGAAAATTTGTTTGGCTTTGCGTTTCTCAATCGACAGTTGAAAACCTGACAGCCGCGCACCTGGTAAGCCTGTTCAATTCGTTTCACCAACCAAAAAGCAAATACAAGATGATCGATGATCGGGTCAGTAACCGAAACTGTAAACACTGGCGATCAGCTGATAAGACATCAGCTTTTGAAGTCGAAAGTGCTTCCATAAGGGTACTGTTATGATGGGTTTAAGTCAATGGCCGCATGCTCTAACGACGCATAGAATATCTACATGTAAGTACTTACGTATGAGTGTGCAAGCAGGCACTGTCATTTTTTACGGGTAAACAAAATTTCAAATTTCATTATCTTTCAATCAAACGAACCGAAAATTCTACGAACACAACATTAGTTTCCACGCAAATCTGACACGCAACAATGATCAGCTCACGATCAGAATCGGTGGCAGTTGACATATCGGAGTTATTTGCTCGCATGTCGGTCGGTACGTACAAAAGAGAAAAACGAGACGCGGAATAAGTGGCATGTAATTAAAAAGCAACAAAGAAGACGCGGGGTTGACCGATGTAATCGAAAAGCAACCACGCATCCTCCACGTTTTATCATCCGTCCTACGGATTCGTTCCAAGGAAGATTGGGTGATGCCCGTTGGGATGCGAGACGCGCCACTAATTAAGAGTCGACTGTGTCTCGCATTGTTTATGCACGGTTATATCTTCGTTTTGCTCGCGTCTTCTCCCCGATACTTTTCTTCTGGCGGGCCTCTCCCTTTCCTTTTCGAACGCCTCATCAAGGTGCAATCGGTTTCGAGTTTGTAAAAATCATTGTTCGACGATTATTAAAAGACATTTAGTGACGACGTTACCCCTTAAGAATCGGTTTTTTTTTTGGGTAAAGTTATAATTTCAGGATATCCCTACTTCGTTTTTGTCATTTTTAGTTGCATCTAAATTATTACAATGAAGAGAAAGAAAAAAAAAGTGGAAGAGAATGGTACTAGGTAGTTTCAAAGTAAAAGAATCTTAATGTTTATTATTATACAACTGAAAATTTAATTGTGTGTGGTACACTTTAAAACATGAAATAACGCAAAGTGGTACGTTGCAATTTTTACAAAGATAACGCGTTTGTTTCCTCTTTCTTTTGCCATTTTAATGCTTGTTGGTGCTACAAAAAAATACAAGCTCTATAAACAACAATAAGACGACTCCATAAATGATACCAAGTGATCTAAGAAGATATTTTGGTAGACACCTAATTTGATTTTTTGATATCAAATATTAATTTGTGCCGGCTTGGAGAGTTTCAGGTTTGATTTTGCAATTAGAAAAGAGTAAGCAGGATTTAACATCTGTTAGTTATAGTTTTCTTTGTTACTGATAACCAATATCGATGGCTTCTTTAAATTACCGATAACCGATAACAAACCGACGTACGATAAATAGGGCCGTAAACTGGTAAACAGCCAAAAAATTTGTTCACCATCGATAATGGATATCGGTAAGGAAAGAAATCTATATTATTTATATTGGACATTCGAAATCAAAAGTCGACAGAAATAATTGTTATACTATAACTTTTTTGTGTCATAGTTGCAATAGTTACGGTCCCTGTTTTCTTTCTTTTGTTGTAGGTTTCGCAACTCTACAAAGACAAATCCATCGGTAATTGCATAAACATTTCGGTGGTAAATATCGTGTCAACCAATAAAACATTTGGGACTAGGTATAACGAAACCGACGGAATCGCGGCGAGCGACATGTTGAGGGAATTCCGTAAATGGCAGAATGAACATAATCCAAATGAAACGTCGCCCCTACATCACGACGCTGCACTACTTTTAACCAGGTACGTAAAATGTTGTTTGTAATTTCATTTTGAAATTAAATGCTCGAGACTTGTGCGTAGAAAACCGTGTTGAGTCCACTTTTTTAAAAGGTTCTTCTAATCGTTTCATTAGCTAACTTCGTCAAGAATTCAGGAGGACGGACTGATATTCTGGTGTGTATCTTAAAGTTACTGCCTGTGTCATTTTATGTTCACCATTGGACCACCAATCGTGGTTTTTACATGAAAGTATTACGATAAATTGTCACTTTTTTTTTTGCATGATATATGTACCTTAGCTGTTATCCTTACGTTACTTTACCTCGTGCAGAGTTGCATAGTCGTCGAGATCTCTTTCAAATTTCTAGAATTTAATGGTATTCGTTAATTTTTATCTCGCGAATAAACGTCGACGTGCTATTATTCGTAAATGTGGCAATGAAAGTGGTCTAAGTAAAAAAATTTATCACTTATTCTGTGTTGCATCGATGGAAATATCTCGAAACGAATAATATGTGACTTAGGCCACTTTGACTAATGGAAATACCGCGTGTCGATAATTGTCGGGAAGAAAACACTGGCACGTTACGTGAAATGATCAGTTACGGCCTTAAATAATAAAAGAATTGCAAAGCACGTGTTAATGTTAAAAGTAAAAAGGTCGACGTTTGTCCAGAATTCGTGAGAAATGAAAACGTATAACTTAGTATTTTCATGAATTGTTAAAAATGATGATATGAAACGAAACACTTTCAGGGAAAATCTGTGCGACCATTCCAAAGAAATACATTGCGACACGTTAGGCCTGGCCGAGTTGGGACGAATGTGTTTCCCAGGATCCTCCTGCGCCATAGTGCGCGACAGTGGACTAGCTGCTGCATTCACAATGGCTCATGAAATCGGCCACGTGTGAGTAAAATTCTAGCAAATTTCAAAGACATTCGATTTTTTACATGCTCAAGCAAGCATATTACGTTAAATTACAAATACTGTCGAAACTTCAACGAGATAAGATTTCAATTCAATTGATAAGGATTCATTAACCCTTCACCTTCTACTTCTCTACAAGTCTTGTACTAAAAATTTTAACAATGAATCATTACGCCTTACAACCTATTGTACAATCTCCTTAATACTGATCGATTTATGTCATTGTGCAACGAAGATGCTAGTAAAAAATATAAATATTCTTTTCCCAATTGTAACTAAAATGTTTCTACGAATGCAAAAAAGAAAAAATATAAAGCCAATTTCCCGTTTGTATTTCAGACTGGATATGCCACACGACAACGACACAAAGTGCAAAAAATTCAGGAAACAGTCGGACATCCACAACATCATGTCCATGATGCTTGACGACCACACCTTTCCCTGGACATGGTCAAAATGTTCTCAACACTACGTCACCAAGTTCCTCGAGTGAGTCAGTCATTACACTGACGGGCGATTAACAGCTATCATTCCGAAAATCATCACGCTAATAGGTTCACCCCTGAATAAGCTTCCAGAACGCATCTTTTTATTGCCTCGATTTGCTGTTCCTTAATCAAGCTATCGAGGATAGATACTACAGAAACATAACTTCTTCGTCGGTGAAATTGTTTGCCTTATTTCTTCAAATCAATCTCGCGTCCATCGATAGAAAGGAGATGTTTTCTACTTCAACGCGCTGCTATTTTAAATATTTTCATCTCGGGTCTACGATTTTATTTGTTCTGTTGGGAATACATAATTCTGCTTCTGCAACGACGAATAACGAGTTTTCATCGCATTTTCATTATCCTCGTGTGATGACATTATCTTTAATCTAGAGAATTCAGTTATTTCGTGGAATTATCACACGAGTACATGACACATTGGTATACACTACCGGCCAAAAGTTTGGAATCACTGTACATTGCAAGTTACACAAAAATTCACAGAAAATAGTCAGCAGCTTTAAGAATTTTTTAACGAATTTTGTATCATTCAAATCAATCGATATGAGATAAATTCCTATTTATCTCCACAATGTCAATATCAAGTCTATGAAAAATTAGTAGCAGATTCAGTACTGATGAAAATTGGGAGGTGATTCCAAACTTTTGGCCGGAGTGTATATTACGACACAGTGGAAGTGCCAAAGTGCAGACGTTTTCGAATTGGTGTAGAACTTGAAGAAATGAAATAAACGCACAGAGTGGTTTAACTGATGCTTTCGGTTTTTCTTCTCATCCCGATTGATAGCAGAAGCAGGAAATTAATAATTATAAAGAAATTAGCCAGTAATAATGTAACAGTGCAACAATATAATATAATGCAATAGTACAAGAATAAAAGTATAAATACATGATATGTAACTTCCTAATCATATGTCGCTATAGAGGGTTAAGCTCGTTCTGGATGAAGTTTGTTTCACGAAGAGGTCCAGTAATGTGACACACGTTCGAAATTTTGTTTCATGATAAGGAAATACGGCTAGTTCTCATAGTGTTAACACATTCACTGTCCAAACTTCTAGCGCAGTCGTCACTCTTATATAGTTTAAACATTTGCCTCTTCATTCGTGTATGCAATCATCGTTCCTTCACCATCGCTGCTTTCTTCAGTTGTAGGATAACCGTCAGATTTTTTTTTAAAAGATGTGCTGCTTTGTATTTCACTGTTCCATTAATCTTTGCTTCCAATTAAAACAAAATGTGAATAATATGAAAACATGACTCGCCGATCCATAAGCGATCATTTTTAGGAATTTTAGAGAAAAACGACTTTGAAATTTTTGAACCATATCTTGAATCCTACTTCTCAAAAAAGTGATAACGAAGATTAAAATGTTACTAAAACGACAGTAGATAACGAAATAATTTCTTCTGAGGTACTGTAGTAGTATAGTCAATGGAATGATATTTATCCACCCGAAAGAGAAATTTTTCTACTTGTTTTATTTTTGATTGTATTATACTTGTACATTCCACGAACATGGCAGTAAGGAAGATTGTACATCACATGTGTTATAAGAGACCTAAAGACATTCAAAAATCCTTGGTCCTCGACGAAATAGGCATCAGTCAACGAATTCGATTCGATCGAGCTGAAAGCCGGTAGCGCAAGTTTTTCTGCAAGAAGCCGAGGAAGATGACTCCTCGCTTAGGAATCCGGTTCCGCTGGATTTTTGAATGACCTGGGCGCACCGCGGGTCCCATTCGTTTCCGACAAAAATTCGGATGACGCCCCACGATCACAAACGCTCAAACCTGTCGAAATTTGTTTCAGAGGCGGTAACGGTGACTGTCTGCTCGACGAGCCGTCGAAAATCATGGAAAGGCCGGACAACACCAGGCTTCCCGGCGAGGATTACTCAGAGAACAGTCAGTGCGAACTGGTATACGGCCACGGGTCCAGAATCTGCTACCCTGGCAGCATGAACAGGGATGATGGTAAGTCGCACATTTTCACACGTACCAGGTGATCCCGTGAGTAATATTCTCAGATACAGGGAAGAGTTGTCTAAATAAAGAGTACCATTTAATATACTTTACGTTCTATTTCCTATTTTACACTAATTGGTCTACAATGATGTTTAAGACACACACACAAAGAACAAATGAAAAAATATTCAACATATAACATTTATAAAATAACATATTTACATTAATAATAATTTATATCTCGTGTTAAATCATATTTTATCAATAACAATGAAGGAAGAGTATATTGAACATAAGTAAAGTACCAATTGATTATTAAACAACATATCTATGTACATAAATGTCGATTTAACTTTTATAATAAATGTAATATGTGCATAAAATGAGTGTAGAATATTCTACAATAATTGTTACTTTTAGAAAAATGCAAAGATAGAGAATAAAACTGCTAATTATCGTCTCAATTCTTGGATTTTGCACACTAGTGCCGTCTAAGCCAATATGACCCTTAGACTATTCTAACCACTGCCCTATGAGGCAACTTACTAAGCGGCTCTCATTGTCAGTAATGAGATTCATGAATCTCCCTAATGATTCAAACTCCTGTCAAATATTCATGTGAACAAAACGCAGCGAACATACTATTTAAGAATTGAGATAAACTAAGCGGTTGGTTGGTTATCGGCCAGGCAGTGTGCAGAATATTGTACTGCACCACACCGGAGGGGGACCCTGTCAGAGGGAAGAGGGGATCATGCCGTACCCAATATATGCCGTGGGCTGATGGGACCGAGTGCGACGTGGACAAATGGTGTTATCGAGGCGAGTGCGTCCCCCGCGAAATCCTCAAGCCCGTGGACGGCCAATGGGGCGCATGGGGACGTTTCAGTGAATGCTCGAGGACTTGCGGTGGCGGTGTCAAAAAGAAGGTCCGTCTGTGTAACAATCCTCCTCCGGAAAATGGCGGCAAATGCTGCATCGGGGACAGTGTTAAGTATCGTAGCTGTGGTACCAGGGAGTGTCCAGGAAATCCAGATTTTAGGTATTTATTATAAGATTTAGGAATTATTATAGAAATGATTCTCGAAACTTGCTGTATTAAGTCGTATTATTCGGTATCTCTATGTATCATATCTAGTGCACCGTTTGTCACAGAATCGAAAAAAGTCTCTTTGATTACAAGTTTCATAGAAGACCATTATTTCAAAATTCTGCTTAATTCTGTCTAATTATACTGAATAACAATGATAGTATATCAATACTTCCTCACTTTACGAATGTAATACCACGATTTTCACATTTAAATTTATTTAAACGTTAGTTTTAATTTCAATTCAATTGAATAATATGTTAATCCGAATCTCAAATTTACAGGGAAGAGCAATGCTCGGCGTTCGACAACAACACCCTAGGCATCGAAAATCTGATGGAAAACGTAACATGGCACGCGAAGTATCGTGAAAGTGAGTATAATCCAACTAAAATCTCAACTTGTCCTCGACTTCGTCGATTTACGCCATTTCTTTTTGCTTCAGTCTTGCCTCAAGAACGTTGCAAATTAGTCTGTCAAGTGAACAGCACTTACTATCACATGCTGAAGGACAAGGTGAAAGACGGAACACCGTGCGGACGAGACACCTCTCACATGTGCGTGAACGGCCGCTGTACACCAGCGGGATGTGATCACGTTTTAAACTCAAACGCGAAAATCGATATCTGTGGCGTCTGCAAAGGCGACAATTCCACCTGCCAATGGATAAGGGGCTCTTACAACTCCAGCAATCAAGGCTACACCAGAGTGACAAAGATCCCAGCGGGTAGCAGAAACATCGATATCAGGCAATACAGTTGGATGGGAATCCATAACGACAATAATTACCTTGGTACGAGCACTTGCTCACTGCGCTTTTAACCCTTCCTTCATTTCCCTCCTCTGAAACTTCATTTTTAGTTCCCGTGGTAGAAGAAGTTAGTCAGACATTTGGCCAAATATTTTGGTGCAAAAATTCTTTGAAATTTTTCTTACGGCGTTATTCAATAGAATGTATGCTACTATGGTTTAAACGATAGCTTACTTAGTCGTTGAGAATGGAGAAATAAGTAATGGATGCTGATATCAAATAAAGTGTACCTCTGTGTTTATACTGATCACAATAACATTCAGATAACAAAGTTTTGTCAAAATTATAATCTAACACCAATACTGAATACCGAATCTAGAACGGCAATACTTAAATTCCATTGACCATTCCTTATGCCTAAAATTTTCAAACAATTCAAATCTTTCACGTTTATTTCATTTAGCCTTACGACTTGGAGAAAACGGAGAGCACATAGTGAACGGTAAACATATGGTAATGCATCAGAGGGTGATCGAAACCAATGGCACCATTATTGAATACAGTGGATCTGAAACAGCCGTGGAGCGTCTGAATATCTCTAAAGTGACCGAGATTGACTTAACATTAGAAGTAAGACTACAATGACATTCTTGCAAATCAAACGTGTCATTAACACGTTCACTGTCTACTAACAGCTGTTACGCATTGTCGGCCAGTCACCGGCGACCAGGTCGTCGGCAACCACTGGGTTCAAAAAAATATATGAGCTCGTATGCAGTTGGTCGCGACAACCACGAAACGCGGCGACAGATGAAGTGCATTGAATTAAATGCAATTTTCTTGTAGACCAGACGTAATAATGATCTTCGATGCAGAAAAATTTATGCAACGACACCGACAACTTTCCAGTTACTGCGTTTGGTTGCTGAGTTTGATTACCGTACTTCATTCTCTGGTTTTTCATCTTTCATCGACCAAGTCGCCAGCGATTACGCACGAAAATGTGTATCTCCCCTGAAAAGGCGAGATAATTTGTCCTATTTTTGAATGATTAAATTAAATTAACTTTGTACTCGTACGTCTTAGACAGTGGACGTGTTAAGATTTACGAAAAAAGAAAAAAGTCATCTGGTTAACCAGTGAGATCCTTCAGGTATTATCATCACCCAATCGGTACCCACCTCAAATCACCTACGAGTACACGGTGCCGAAAGAGATTCTGAGCAGATATTCCTGGATCTTAAGCAACTGGACAGAGTGCAGTCCAATGTGTCAGGGTATGAAATATCGCAAAGCTGAATGCAGGAATATCGGCTACGAGAAGGATGTTGTTTCCAATGATTATTGTCGCGAGTCAGAGAAACCGCGGGAAGCAAGGCAAATGTGCGGCAAACACTGTATTCTAGAGTGAGTATGCCCCAATTAAAATATCATTTGAAAGTTAATCGGTGATGACTAATATCTATCAATATAGACGTCTACAAAGTGTTTGAAAACTGGTGCTAAAACATGCTCGTTTGGCAAAATGTTTTCTTTGTTACAACTATTCAAAAAGGTCGCCTGAAAAAAAGCTGAGATCTGAAAATCATATATTGGTCATTACAACTTTCGCCTGGTAAATTTGTAGCTTTGCGTCGATTTCTTAACAAGATTCGATCACAATTTCGTTATTACTGATTTTCCGTGAATATGAAAGAAGCAAGATTTGAGGAAACGAAAAAAAAATGAAAATTTCACGACACTATTCTAGATGGGAAGTCACAGTTTCGGAGTGTTCTAATCACTGTGGACCAGGAATTCGTAAGGTGAGCTCCAGGTGTGTACAGAAGTTTCTCAACTCAAACGAACCACCCCGTCCAACTGGAACACCAACGTGCGCCCATCTTGTACAACCAAGCGACGAGGAACCTTGCATGGGACCCTGCAAAAATGTCCACTGGAGTTATGGGAAATGGAGTGCTTGTAATGTCACATGTGGGGGTGGTGTTCAACACAGGACAGCTAAATGCGTAGACTGGAACGGAAGAGAAGTTCCTGAGGGGAATTGTGCAGGGCAAGAAAAGCATTTAACGGTAGTATGTGGACAACAATCGTGTCCAAAGTGGGAGCTGGACAAGTGGAGTTCTGTAATTATTTGTACAACTTATTCTAACACTATCAGTAAAATTAATTGATTTTCTGGTTTATTATGCTTCTCTTCTTCTTCGTAATAGTGTTCGGTAACATGTGGTATGGGCACACGAAGTCGGAAATTCTTGTGTCACATAGACAACCGTCTAGTGCAAAGCAGTTATTGCGGTAAATTACCTCAACCAATTGTCCAAAACTGTAACGCTGCGAGGCCTTGTGAGCAATGGCACACTGGTGATTGGAGTTCAGTATGTAGCAAAATTATAGCTTCGTTTATAAGTAAAGTAATTTATATGTAGAATAATTTCAAGGAGTAGGAGGATTACACAATTAGTAGTTTCATCTTTGGAATTTATCGCGAATAATTGTAATTTATCGTGTATAATTGGTAATCGTTCGAGCGAAACACTTAAATTATTTTTTGTTTGCAGTGTTCAGTCACTTGTGGCGAAGGTACAAAAGTAAGGAAAGTAATTTGCAAAAGTGTTGACGGAATGAAAAACAATAAATGTTCGTCCTCCAGCAAACCAGAAAACATTACAGCCTGTATAGTGAAACCTTGTCCAACAATAGTACGTCTAATCTTCCTTTCGCTACCTCTACCGCTATCTATTTTTAATTGTTTAAGTTTATGAGAATCACATATTTTACAGAGAAACATACCATCGATCAAATATTTTAATACCTCTAATCTACCATATGAGATCTTTTCTCAACAAGCCAACGAAGTTCTTGACATAACTTTTCATCCAGGATATAAATGGCACAGTGAAATACGGAGAGAGGTAGATATTTATTGTCCATCTCCTTTGATTATTAAGAATTTAAAAGGATAATACTCGTTAGAAAACGGTAAAATCACGTGTTATCCTTGTTTCAGTGTTCTAGACCATGCATTCGAAGCTTCATGCATGTAAATGTAAAATGTATTTCCATTGAAAAAGGGACTATCGTTCCTGAAAGCTATTGTGATACGAAGGAAAAGCCACCCACTGCGATACGTTGCAGTCGTGATCTTTGTCCAATGTGGAAGACCGATAATTGGAGTGAGGTCAGATAATAATAACTTAGGAAAGAATATTAATATTGTATTGTTCCATTTATTACATTTGATAATATCAAAAATTACATTCTTCGAAAAGTTATGTATATAAGCAAATATTATCTTAGAACAATTGAAGACTGGACACGAGAAAGGCTGTAAGTGGCAATAATAAAAATTTCAAGAAACCAATTGTTTAGTTACCAAAATGTTATTTATTAAAAAAATATATCAAAACTTATTTTTTACATGTAACATATCTGTTACTTTATTTAACCTTGCAATATTTATATTTTAATATTTTAAAGTCTTACTAATTAACAACGAAAGAAAAGTTTCACGGCACTTTTTTATGTCCAGTCTTCAATTAAGTATTTAAGAAAACTGTGTTTATAGGGTGCTATAATTAATATAAATTGCATATGTCTGTTTAACTTATTGGTTTACTAATTTAGTGTGACGCAGAATGTGATTCGGGACTCCAACGCCGAAATGTTTATTGTCAAAGTCCACGCGGTGAAATTCTATCCGACGAGGAATGCCACGACAGAGAGAAACCGAAAATAGTAAAGATATGCCGGAAAAGCCCCTGCATGAATAGTCCCACGGATCGAAAGAATCGATTAGAAACAAATATTCTCCGTAAATGGAAATTCTCTCAGTGGAGCCCAGTAAGTAATATTCCCTTTGACATTATTCTTTTTTGTATGTCGCTCCCTTCTTGTATTTAAGTTAAGTGATATTTACAATGTTGACTAAAAGTGTTTGCGAAATAAGAACGCCATCCATGATCTATTTTGCTTACAATCGTCACTATGTGCAAAATAATCGATAAAAGTAATTTTAGTTCTATATGACTACTACGGATATCAATTTGTGTGTCCGTTTTTATGCAAATCATAGTGAATTATAGGGAGATATTCAAGAAGGTAATAGAATTAATTGAATTTTTTATCGATGTTGTGAATTTTTAATTTCGTCGTTGTTTGAAGCTGTTTTCCTACATTTTGCACTGCACAGCATGTAAATTGCTAATAGAATGTGTAACAATGAAAACGAAAAAACTTCAAGAGGACAATAAAAACGAACAATAATTAAACTTTGAATTTATAACTTAAGCTCTAACTTTTGACATACCCTTAGAATTTGATTTTTACATACACAAGTAATCTATATGTTGTCCAAAAACAGACATTTAATTCAACAGAAACGGGAACAAGATAGCCGTGATACCTGTCCTGCAGAAACATGTTAATATTCGATTCGACGAATTAAACAGAAAAACTCGCAATCGTTATTTTGCACAATTCTTTGGTTACTTTGCTACATGTGTACAACCATCCAACTTGTTTCTTCATTGAACTAGTCTTGCCACGAATGAATTTACTAAAAGGGAAAAAAAAAGAAAAAATTCGAATAAACGAAGCATAAGGGAAAATGTAAACGTCGAGATTCATGAGGGGAGTTGATGAGTTGCCATCGATCGTAGTTTGGATCGAACGAAACTGTTTTGCAGTGCTCGAAGTCTTGCGGTAGCGGACTACAGTGGCGAAGGGTGGAGTGCACGATGAGGAGAGGAAACCACGGGCCGGAAGTGACTGTTAAGGATGAGCAGTGTTCAAGGCTTGGCCTACGCAGGCCGAGATCGCAGAGACCATGCAGACGCGTTGCCTGCGACTATATTTGGCAGGAGGAACCTTGGTCTGAGGTACCTTCATACCTCATCGCTGCTATGATCTACGATCTATCGATCACGTCTTTCATTATTGCTTGCCTCTTCTTCATTTCGATTGTTGAATCCAGTTTTCCTCGGATTGTTTTTGTTGGACCCTTTCGATCGAGCTTATCGGTGAACTTGAGGAACGAAAGAATTATGAATTGGAAAATAGAATTCGACGAATTACAAAAATAAGAGAAGAAAAACAACAATAAAGAGATGTACTTGAAAAAAAGAAAAATCTGCTATAACAAAATAAGCGTACTGAAGAGGAAAGTTAACAAATTGAAACTGAAAGTATATCCTTTATCATCTAGTTTACAATTTAAGTTCAATTTTTAACGATAATTTGAGTAAAAAATAACAAAATATTCATAATTCTATATTTCACCACTGAAATCTACCGACATCAAAATTGGTATTGCACAGTTTTCTTTTGTGTACAATTTATCCATAAGCTCGATCTTGTGTGCTCGACTTGGATTGTTTGGAAGGAAAGAAGTTCACCGAGAAGTTGTGTTCCATTTCATGGTTTAAAGGGCAATGCACGAAAACGATCGAAGTTAGTTGAAAAACTCAATCCTCACGATCTTCGATAATAATATTTAACTAATCTTCCTAATCTTCTTTTCAATAAAGAATCATAAGCGACTTGGCTATTATTTTAAGGTAAATTTAGAGTTTACACAGAATCATACACAGTAGAATTCCAATAAACCGGCGCTCTCGGGACTTCGGCAATGCCGAATTACCAAATATACCAGATTATTTGACTATATCTGTGTATAAACGTTAATCAGTTTTAAAAGCAACCTTATCTGATTGCTGGTATTGACGAATGACGTTCGTAGGGTACGGTCGTGGTCAGGGCTGCCCGTGCCGGACTATCGGATGTACCGACACCGGATTATTGAAATTCTAGTGTCATGTGCGCGCGCGCGTGCTGTGTCTCTTTTGTTCACTGACATTATTCAACGCTAACTTTGATCGAAACAGATCTTGATATGTTTACAGTATCACAAAGACATTAATTCAGTAGATTCTTACTTTAACACATGCCTAATAATCACTGTCTTCTTCAAACGCTCCATTTTGTTGCGAGAATCTTCTGTTTTCATTTGATTTTATCCATTTTACAATGTTAGATGAAAAGCAATTCCGATTAAAAACTAGCACCATGCAGAAGTTTTCGTTTCTTTCATCAGATTCCCGACGAAAGAACAGTTTACCCTAATAATTTATCCTAATTAACACTAATAACTTCGTGTTCATTCACACTTGCACATTTGATCGTTCGAATGGGCATGCGACTTGTAGGGTTCTCTTCTCGCATGTGGAAATCATCAATATGCATGACACGAGAAATTGGTGTCATTGTTTTTTATATTAATACACCTTTCTAAAGCACCCGTGGAACCTCATCATTCTATATAACAATGTTTATCGATTGTACTTATCTCTTAATTGAACGCACGTTCATTTATCTCCGAGCGAGTCAGGATAGTAGACAGATTGCGAAATGATCATTCCATTGAAATGTTTTGCTGTTTAATTCATTGCTGTGAAAAAATAATACCACCTATCTTACAACATATGTAATTACTTGGCTAATTCATCAAACGACTCTAGTGGTTTACTGAGACTTGAATTATTTCAAAATGATTTCGTTAGTGTGCGCACGTTTGTACATTTCACGATTGTTTATGTTCTGTTGTTAATAAAAATTAATAACACCTCGTCTCCGTTGACGACAAATATGTACTACGATAAGTATAATTTGTTGTTTTAAATATTCTACAGGGTGTCCCACTTCTAATGAACATCTATATTACTTCCGGTGCTATTGAAAAAGTTTTAGGACGTGTATCTGATAAGGATAAAAATAGTCCCTCTAACGGGATGACTGTTATCTTGAAGATTAATCTTGAAGATTATTCAATATCACTCGGCTGTTCAACGACCTATAACATTATGACCTTGAGATGACTTTGAGCAGAAAAATCAGAAATGTGCAATCTTAAATTGGAAAAATGCAAAAATAATGAAACATACGAAGAACGAATATTGGTGCCAATTAACTTTAGTCAAGAATCGGGAAGTTACTCAATGTTGATATTTTACTGTTCACGATCACTCTAAGGTGATAATATCAGAGACCGTTGAACTCGTCTTGATGTAGACCACAACGTCGCATTATGAAAAACAGATGTTAATAGGCGAAAGATGACCTTGGAGGGACTTCCTTCTTATCATCGCCAGTTATCAACTCCTCTTAGTAATTTTTTCTTACTTACAATAACAATGGAAATCATTTAAGTATTCGTTATAAGTGGGATCATTCTTGCAGAACCATAATTCAATTATATGTATATAATACATTTTTTAAGCATACACTTTACACATATACGAATAGCGTATGGGCATGAAAATCTGTCATATATTATCACACTTTCTGCACACCAAAAGGAATGTTCATCAATAATCTGACTGTGCGTATGATAGATCTTAAAGATCATATATATGAAACAAATGTAAGGTTCAACTACTGCAATCCGTTTAATAAATATTGTAATAAAAGAAATTAAAAGAAAAAACAAGTAAACAAAGTAAAATGAAAACGAAAAATATACCAATATTTCTATTACTTTTTATGCTAACAGCAGTTGGTATGTTTCAAGTGTTCAGCAGAATGTGGCGAGGGAATTCAAAGTCGAATAGTGAGCTGTCATCAAACTAATGCTCGCGGTTTCACCGATCTTACGCCCACTAATAATTGCCCAATGGATCAAAAGCCGGCTACCAGTCGGCCTTGCAAAGTCCGAGAGTGCAATGACCAATATTACTGGAGGGCTGGTCCATGGAAGCAGGTAAGTTTAATTTTTAATCAAATAAAGTAAACGAAGTAATCTTTTAAATTTTCTTGCGAATAGTTCTACTGGAAACGTGAAAAGAAGATTGCAGATGTGTAATATTGAGCTTGGGAACTAAATAACATAATTTTCAAAGTCTGCAAATTCTGACTTTTTATATATTGTCATTTACTGAATGAATCTTTTCCTTTTAACGCTAAAGCATTCGAACACTGTGAAATCTTTTTTCCGCATAAATATTCCACATAAATATTTCCGCATAAATACTTGCACATCTGAACAATGTTCAATTCTCCTTCGAAATGCTTTCCTAAATATGTATATTCAGGATAAAATAAAAGTATTTGCACTAGTAGCCAAAGATTTACGAACATTTGTCAAAACGAAATAAATTATCGTTATATCTACAAAATCAACTCTCAATTAATCAGACTGTTAAGGCCATGTGTTCAGGCTTGCGCTGCGTCGACACAGGACATCGCCGTTTTTGAGAAAGTCAAGTATTTTCAAAGGATGTATATTTTCTCACGGACTTGGGTCTGGCTGGAAAACAATAACAACATTCTCTCGAAGGATTGCCAGCCAGGCCATCTCAACGGCAATTGGCGCATCGTAAGTCCACACGCAGTCAAAAGAGGGACCTAGGATTTATGGGTCGGTTTTCCGAACTGCCGACCCTTTGTTGCGACGTCCTGCAGGCCTTGTTTACCGAACGAACATTTGGCCTGTAGGCGTTGCGCAATCGGGAAACCGCCCCAAGTTTTAATTGGACAATCCTAGGTCCCACTTTTCTGCAATTCCTTCCAAAATAGGACTTGGAGGGAATTTTCCAGGACGATGGTGGGAGCGTTTGTCAACTTCGGTGGAAAGCGTCCCTCCATCGAGACAGAACAAAATAGAACCCCATATTGAACAGAACACCCTCGCGACTGAGAAATAGTTTAGAAATAGTCAAACGGACAATAAAAATTTTGTGTTGTAAATAACTAAGTTTTATTTACTGAATATTCCTAATTCCAAATTATATGGAATTAACAAAGACAGTTCATTGGTACTCCCTGTTTAGTTTCAACTGATTCATTTTAAAAATATGAAAATATCTGATAATATGGAGAAATTTCGATTACAGTGCAGCCATGATTGCGGACAGAAGGGTCGTCAAATGCGGAAACTGTTTTGCTACGACAGAAACGACAGACAAGTGCCACGCGTCTATTGCCCTAGAAAGTTCAAGCCGCGACGGAAGCAAAAGTGCAACCAAATTAAATGTTATCCAATGTCCTGCCTCGATGCGAAAAAGTATTACAATACTAATAAAGACAACGAGTACACCTTGGTCGTTGCTGGAAGGAGCATGTTGATTTACTGCTATGAAATGTCGAGTTCCTATCCAAAGGAGTATTTGACACTTCGGGCTGGGTACAGGGAGAATTACGCGGAAGTAAATAACAAGAGGTCAGTAGGAAAGAGGATCAAACTGAATGGTGCATGTCATTACATAAAAAGATTTTATTCCATATTCTTCTAGCTAATATTAAGACGTATTCAAAACACTACCTACGCATGTATTTTTTATAAGCCGTTGTTGAGTTATTAACTTTCAAAGTTTACGTACTGCCGCCATTTGAAAATATGTAATAAAAAATATAGAGTTGCGCTTAAAAATTGTAATGTGACCTTCATAGGACTCTCTAATGTTAACTCAAGGTCAAACAATTTTTACCATAATATGTCCCCCTCAATACTATACAACTTTCATCTGAAACATTTTTCACATTTCTGATACTTACAGAAATAATCACTTGTAGACATTTGAAACGGACATACTGTATACATATATAGAATTGCTGATTAACATGAAAACAACAATGGTACAAAACGTTAAAATTAATGAGAATAAAATGGCCAATTAATAAAAAAATGCTGTTCTGCGTTAATGAAAGAAACATTTACATATGTAACTGCAGTGAGTGTTTTTACTAATAAATATTGAAAAGGTATAATTACTGTAGATGCCTTTGAATACCGATTAGCATAAATACAATTCTATTAGAAGATATTAATGATCAAACAAAAGGAAAATGACACAAGCACAATAGAAAATCCTATAAACGCGTTATTTTTTTCATCTATTTCAGATTAAATTATGCGGAAAATTGCCCATACAATGTGCGGAGGCACAACTGTGACTGCCAGATTAAGTCTGGGAAAACAGAATTTAGAAGGGTACGAATCGATCCTGTAAAACTGTATATATTAGGTAAGGTACAGTGCATGCTTACATAAATAATAAATATATGTTGGATCAAAAATTTTAAAAGCTATTGTGTCTTTAGAGAACGATTACACATTTTCATGGACGAATGGAACGAAACGTATTGAATATGGCACAGCTGGGGATTGTTACAACAGTGTGCATTGTCCACAAGGTCGTTTCAGCATTAACTTAAGCGGTACTCAATTCAGAATATCGCCAGAAGTTGTTTGGAAAGGAACACATGAAGCATCAGTGGAAATAAATAATATTGTAAGTCTAACATATACATATGTACAGTTTATATCATAAAATATTACTTTTGCTGTCAGTGCTATTAGCTCAATATCTGATTAATGGCATAGTTTCACTTTTTACTATATGGTATCAATAAAAGTAGCATTTTGAGGACTTTTAATTTGTATCGGTAAACTGAAAAACTTGGATATTTTAAAAAAAGGTACACATAAATTTACTTGAATTATCACTTCTGTTTTTACTTATTTCTTCAAAACATAACTGGACACTTAATGAAAATCAATTTCACATCTAATCAGTACAACGAATTATAACAAAATCAGAAGAAATGAAGAATTAAAAGTACTATAACCCTTAGTTGGTATCGTAATTCCCGCTTCTCTGTAATTCCCCCAGCATAAGATACAGCTTCATATGCTACGTTAAAATATTCTTTCCGTTTCAAATCCTGTGCGTTAATTACATTTTTGTTGCGTTTGGGTCATATTTGACCCCATGATACCAGTTGTGTGTGTTATCTGAGAACTAAGTGATTCAGAATGTCGAAAGGTTTAACTGAAAGTGAATTAGCGGATATTGTTAACAATTCATCAGATGTAAGTAATACTGAGGTACTGATTGAAAATGAATGCGATGATGATCTCATGACGTATGATGTGAATGAACATTCTGATCATGGCATTGATACAAAAATCGAAGATGGCGATGAAGGAACCTCTAATAGAGAAGACGAGAGAGGATATTATGTTTTTCTTTTTTTTTAATGATTTACAAACCTTGAAAGCTTCACGCTTGTTTTCAATATTCGTTAACATCACCATGTCAGATTTTTTATACTACGCGAAAGTGATTAAAATAGTTCGTAAAAGTTTAGTTTATACTTCCTTTATTTGTTTGTTATATTGCTTTAGCCATATTTCTATTCGTTTCACATTATTTTGTATAATTAAGAATATAATAGAAGTAATAACATTTCAAGCAACAATATTCATCGCTATACCTACAAAACACGAGTGGGTCATGACGGACCCTACGATACCAGTTACGTGACTGAAATGTCGCCATACCAACTGAGGGTTAATAAAGAAAATTGATAAAAACTAAACTATTTTAGTATACTTATAAATAATAGTGTGTAGGATCTTTAGACTTACAATTTCTTACTTATCTATGCACGATTTCTCACCATGTCTTCCTATTAAACTACATTCTTAGAATAGTCAACGTGTCGTTGGAAAATGTGGAGGCACCTGTGGCATTTGTAAGCCAGCAGCTGGATTAAAACTAGATGTTTTACCACCTTAGTCTGCAATATGGGGGGTCCAATAATCTCTAAATACCTGTAGAGTACAGGTAAGCAAAGTAAATTCTTTAAATATACTAATTACTCTTATTGAAATAATCTAATTAAATTAAAAACTTGATATTCTTCCTTTAATAATATAATTACATTGAGAAATGATTAGTATAAAACTTGACCTAACACCTTAATTCCTATACTTTACTGCTAACATTTATTATAACAGTTTATTTCTATAAAACTTACACAATTTGACTGTGATTAATTTACTAGAAATTACTAAATTACTTCTTTACATATCTATGAAAATGTAAACGTATACTGTTGCAGCTTTCAGCAGGTAGAAATTCCACTACTGGATTTTTTAGCACGTCGCAAAAGACTGGTTCGATGAACACAAGATGAAATCGACGAGATTCACTACCGAACCGATCACTCCATTTCGAGCTTGCTCTGAATCATTCGCTTAAAACAATCTGCGTGATTTCGAATGATAATTATTACGTCCTCAGAAATAAGAGTCAGCTTCGTAATAGATTCGCCGACTCTAGAAAATTTTTAAAACTGCCGATGGTATACCGAATAGGATAGAAAACAATATTGTTTTGATAAGTCGTTTAACAATTCGCATTTAATGTTCGATCATTTTATGTATTAAGAATTTAAACACTCGTGGAGGACGAATTTTTTGAGAAGTCACCTTTCAAAATATAAGCTCCCATTGTACGATACACTGAATATTTAAAAAAAGAAAAAATGTAATACTATTTAATGTTAACAAGCTCTAAATATGAATTCACATATCTTTAAAATGCTAGTTAGATTTTAAATACCTAGTTTCACGAAGACAAACAATTATCCTCCATAATGAAGAATAATTGATAAAGAAACGAGTTTTCTGTAAAAAGAAAACAGTGACAATGGATGGAAATTATACCTTGAACGGTACCACGTGACATTTTTGTCTTCTCGAATTATTCGTCGAATTTTAACAATTCGTGTCCACTTAAGAGTTCCGTTTAGGTATATAAGTAACTTAATGTCCGGTAAGAATTGCAGTATTCGTTTTGTTTATACTCGTTGAAACATGACTGCCCGAAAAGCTTATCGCTAATCGAACAAGAAAAAAAAAAGTGCAAAAAGAATGAAAGTAACGTGATAAAAAGAAACCTTTTATGTTAGTACGCGACTAAAGTACAAAACTGTAAAATGGCGAGACCCAATGTTGTTTTAATTGAGCCAGGGATCTATGCTTATTTCTATCGACAAAATTTGTCTGATTTAATCTAGATTTAATCTAGACTGCTTTCGCAAATCTTCTACGTCTATGATACTATAAGTTTACTTGGAAATATGACAAGAGCAAAATTATTCAAGATTTCTTTCACCCCCTGAACTTTTTTTCTACTGTAATTTAATTATTCGCAGCAGAAGCTCTTTCGATAAGATATATCTTGTAAAACACTATAAGACTTGTTCAAAGCTAATTCCATGGAGAGCCATATGAACGTATTTTAATTCACGTGTTTCGAGTTTGATCATTTGCATAAATATTCCATGGCTTAGAAAATATTTATAGTAGTGCAGAATATGCATATGCGTTTATAATTTCTTCTAGCGCAAGATTTACCATTTAACACGTTCCGTGCCGAACCGATTTTCGGTGACTTTCCGTTCACGCCGCGTGAGTCATATGCGCCCCCACGTTGTCTAAACTAACAATTTTGCTTTTGACCCTATACGTCTTCTAATATTTATAAGATTGCAAAAAGCATTATTATCAAGAAAAAGGTAACGTTTAAGATGCACTATAGAGCAAAGGAAATATTTTTGTTTTAACAAATTATCGCTGTAGTTGCATAGTTTAAGTCAACGGAAGGAAAAGGCCGAAATATCAAATGGCCTGAACGGAAAGTCCAGAGTTGGGCGTATACGACCCACGCGGCACGGAACGTGTTAAATAATTTTTAAACCATTT